TATATTATACTATACTATACTATACTATACTATACTATAATATACTATTCTGTAATATATACTATACTATACTATACTATACCATACCATACCATAGTATAAAATGTGGTATCGGTAAAATCCTCAAACAGTCTATTATAGAAATCTTTACTGAAAAGTCCCGGTTCCCTCAGAGCTGGTTCTCTCTGGTTCTCTCTGGTTCCCTCTGGGTCCTGGTTCTGATCCCAGCTGGGGCTTTTCCTCTCATCGCCCCCCAAACCTGCGTGTAAGGTGATCTGGGGCCCCGGGGGGGGGGGTGTGTGTGAGTGATGTGCTGCTGCCGCCGTGATAACGGGGCGCCCTGTCCAGGATGTTCCTCACCTCTGACCCCGCGGCAGCTGGGAGAAGCTCCGGTCCTCCCACCGGCCGGGAGAAAGGATCCAGCTGCTCCAGGGGAGCCTGAAGAGTCCAGCCTGCGGACCGGTGACGGGGCTGAGGTGTGCTATAACGGGGATACATTCCCCAGCCTGTTTAACTACCAACGAATTCGGAATGGAAAGAATTTAAGGCATAATGACGAAAATTATAAGCAATACATTATCCGATTTGTTGACAACTCTTTCCTGTTGGTTGTGTTGGTGAGCGTTTTAGGAGCCTTTAAGATGTTTAAAAGTTATGTTGGGTGGACAAAACTATGTCCAGATTCCCATATTTGAATAAGACAGACTGCTTGTGCTTCCTGGGTCACTCGGGCAGTTTGGTGGGAGTCTGTTAGGAGTGAAGCGCCGTGTGGAGAGTTTTAGGCAGTAAAAACCAGCCTGTTAGAGAAACATTAACAGACCAGGAAGTAGAGGCGTTCTCAGTGTGCCGAGGAGTATTGGGGAGTCATGGAAAAGTCCTGAGAGGCGTCCGGCGGCGGTGGGAACCCGTCAAAGTCTCCGCCTGGCGTTTCTGGACCGTCCCGGCTTTTTTCCCCGGTGGCTCTTCCCGGCCTGAGCCCGTGAGTAGCCCCGCTGGAGTGTGTGTGTGTGTGTGTGTGTGCTGATAAGCGAGCGTACATGTGAGCGGACCACATGATTTCCTGTTTTCATTCCGCGCTGATGTGCCACATGTGTGCGCGTCCTGGTGGTCATTAGCGTGAGGCTTCGAGTGGAACTGTGGAGGGTTGTGGGAAAATATGCAGAGAGGTGCGTACGGGGGAGGGGGAGGGGGGGGGGGGGAAATTTGAAAGAGGGGGGGGGGGTGGGGGGGGGTAGGGGGGGGGGGGGTGAAATTTGACAGATGTGGCAGGGATGAGGAGTGTAAAGATGGAGGAGAAAGAGGAGATGTAGAGGGAAGAAAGGGGAGTAAGAGGTAAGAGAGAGGAGGCGGTCTCTCTTTGGAAATGCCCGCGACATCGGTTGTTTATCTTCTCCAAAGAAGGCAAAGCCAGCAGAGAGAGAGAGCTAACCTCCGTTAGTCAGAGTATCAACAGACAGGAGCAACTCTTCGCCCACATCTTAACAGACCTGAAGAGGTCTGTTAAACGGGAACGTGTCGGGAAGCCTGCGGGAATTAGACGTAGTCCCTAAAGAATCTTGGCTTTAAAGGCCGCTTTACGCCTAAAATGCTGAGCTAGCAAAGCCCACAGGTGTGTGAGTGCTTTAGCCTGATGCTGGCGGACCTCTCTGAGTAGGCTAAACCGCACCGTTCTGCATCTCAAATGATCGTAAGTCAAAAAAAGTCCAAAAAGTTCCATCCTCAAACTGAATGACGGGGTTAGAGGATATACAGGCTGCATCCTGGGGCTCTGACTTATTGTGAGAGTCCTTTTTTTTTTCCTTCTGGGTCCTCCATTTGGAGCTATTTCATCCACATAACGGGCTAAAAGGCAGGAGAAAGCCCCTACGTCCAGTCGGACGGACCGGACGAGGGGCCTGACGGAGGGGGGGGGGATAAGGCCTGAGAGGCTCCAAGGGGAACAGAGACACTTGGACCGCTTTTGAATGAGATCATGGGAAGCTGAAACGTGTGTGTGTTTAAAAACGAGGCTTAACCGGGCCCGCCTCCTCCGTGTGAAGACACAAACACGCACACACACACACACGCACACACACACAAACATGGAGTCGGGCACAGACCGGCTCTTTCTTCTCTCTGCTGCAGATCCCTGCACCTGTCCCTGACACGGCTCAGCAGGAAGGGGCGTGCCCCCCCCCCTACACACACACACATACACACACACATCTCCCCGGCAACCCTGGTCACGGCTGCCCCCCCGCCGCCCGCCCCTTATCAGTGTTTTCGCACTGGCTTTCTGAAGGCGACCCGCCTCAGAACTCCTCAAAACCAGTCAGGTATGCAGGGTATTGACTCCTTAGCTATTCCCCTTTTCTGAGGGACTCTTTCCGGCCTGAATGTGGACACACGTCCAGATCGGTTCCCAGGGTTCTCCCCGTCACATCTGCGAACAGCTGAACAGTCTATCTGCCCCCCCTCCTCTTCAAATGGCAGGGGGGAAACGTTGGAAAAAAACACAGCGAAGACACTCTGCTTTCTCTTTTTTTTACGAGTCCATCTCTGAGCTGGAAGGGCCTTAAATCTGGCGTTTGGAGTCTAATTTGGACAAATAAAAGGGCTGGCTCGGCCCCCGGAGTGACGGGGAAGAGGACGGGCCGTCAGCCCGGGTCGAAACGCTGCACTTAAATCCGGCCAAGAGGCTGCAATTACTCTGTCCTCCTCCCAGAGAGAAACACCCTCTGCACACCAGCTGTTGGAGCATGGGTAACAGATCCTAACGGGGGGTTCTGCCGCCCACAAACCCGTCCAGAAACCGTTCTTCACCTGATCTCCACCTGATGCTCCTCCCACCTGTACCACCCTAAACACGCGCTCACACTCAGGGGCTCGCTGGAGCTGTTTTTGAGGCTCTGTTCGGGCCACATTTCGACTCATTTTAAATGTTTAAATGTCTCTACAGCCCCTCGATGATGATGATAATAATAATAATGATTAACCTATCGAGTGGAACTTTAAGACATGGTCGTCCCAGTTAAAATGGTGCCTGGTCTTCTGCTCAGAGCAATGGTGAAGGGCCGTGGCGCCCCCTAGTGGCTAGGCCTCAAAATGCAGACAGTGACCTCATAATTCAGAAAAAAACCATAAAAAAAAAAAGGCGAGTCGGTCTGTGTGATCCTGACTCTGTGGTCCCAGTTGGTCTGGGTTAGGCAGGTGATCCTGACTCTGTGATCCTGACTCTGTGATCCTGACTCTGGGATCCTGACTCTGTG